CAGATCAGCCCGGCCGATCGCCAGATCGTCCCGGGACGATCAGACCAATTTCGATCGTCCTGGATGGTTCCCAGAACTATTTTTCGGCCGATATTTTGAACAGTGCAAATCGGCCTGGACGATGCCTCGATCGGCCTGGACGATGCCTCAATCGGCCTGGACGATGCCTACAGAAAAACACCTGGAACAAATCTGAGCAAATTATGGAGCAAATTCTCAACTGATCGTCCCAGGACGATCCCAGATCGTCCTGGATGATCCTGGAGCAGATTTTGATTTTACAGTGTGAATGATGATGGTCGAGCAGAAATCCAACGGTGGTAGAGCGGAAGTCCGATGACATTGGATGGCCAGGCAGAAATCTAGCGACGGTCGGTGGCTGGGCGGTGTTCGATGAGTAAGTTTCTAATTCGAAGTTGCCTCAAGATTCGTGCTCGATCAAGATATTTTTTTGATGATATATCACGAGTCAAGTTTGATCCAACTCTAACTCGACTTATTAGTTCACAACCTGGCTCATTGAATCAATAGTAATATAAAATATTTTTAAAACATGTTGGAAGTAAAAATTTTAAAATAGAAATTTATTAAAATTATTTTAATATTATTTATCACTTAGTTATATCAAATTGTTTCTTATTACTTTTCTACTATTTTTTTCTGCCTCAGTTAATTAATCAAATTCAAGTCCAAATCAAAGCTGATTCAAACTCCGCTTCACACATTTATACCTATAAAGTGAACTATTCTTTTACCAAACTTCATACAAAAATGTAATTAAGAAATCACTATAAAAATTTTAAAACTTATAATATTTTGACTATGATTGCAAGAAAATTTACTATCATTATTTTGGGAGTTAATCGGAGAGAAATTATTTGGTGCGGAGTGCGGACAGGAGAACCGTCCGCACACTAGTATAAAACAGCATTCGGTACCATTCGGTACCACTCGGTACCATTGGGTACCGCTCGGTATCCTGTGTCTGTGCGGACGGTTCTCACCCCATCTGTACTCCGCACCTAATAATTTTTCTTAATTAATCGGACTGGAGCAGCGCTAATACAATCAGGTTAGAATGAGCTATTTTATGATAGGATATGGCGTGTCAGGTTCATTTCTAATCCTAATAAACAAATGCCTATTCGCTGGTCAGCGATTTCTTCGATAACATCAACTCGCTTTACTGAAAGCAAGAATAAAGGCTTCCTTCCCACCACCGGCGGAAATCCCCAGATGCCGTAGAGAGAGAGAGAGAGAGAGTATCGGCCACGCGGATGAGTACTCATTATATAGTTGCAGAGAGGAGAAGCGGGGTTGAGCTCTCCTGCATTTGGGGTTCCGTCGATCGGCTTACATTTTCTCACATTTGATCTAGTGAGTAATGGAGTACCAGTTGCTGTACTGCTTTGAATTGGAGTAATTTTGTATTTGGCACCTGGCTGCTCTGCTTCTTCCCTGAATCCGAAAGCAGCAGTAGAGGTTACGCCACGAGAAAACAGCCGTGAAATAATTAAGAACTCAGGCACTCTGCCGTCTCGTTGTACTTTAATTCCATTCTGATCTCTCGTCGTTTGTGCAAGCGGCATTTCTTGGAAGGGGAGAAGATTTTTTAATAGAATCGGTGATCGTGAAGGGAAGAGAGAGAGGGAGAGATGCTGTGTTTGAAAGCGGAGGCACTGTGGGGCGAGATGTATGTCTCACACGGAGCGATTCTCCCCGTGAATCTGTAAGGGATTGAATTTCAAACCTTCCGTTCTTTTCCAACTGTTTGTTTACTGCTTTCGTCTTGGTCTCTTTGTTTGTTTCTTTCGCTTGGATTTGTTCAGTTTGTCATTGTTCTGGATTTATGTCTTGAGGATTCAGGGGAAGCTCCATTCAGAGTGCAATGCAGAGAGGAGTAAAGGAAAGAGGAGGAAGAGGGGAATATGGTGCACCAGATCCGTCTTCTTCTTCTTCTTCTTCTGGAGATGGGTGTTCGCGTATTGAGGTGGGTTTTCTTCTATTCCATGTCGGTGAACTCTTCTTTTACATCTTTTAATTAGCATGGTCGAAAAATTTGAGTATTGTTTTTGGATCTCTTTACTGCTTTAAATTTATGGGAATTCCATCCGGGTAAGAAGATTTCATTGGTCATAGCTAAATTCCAGTGCTCTTTGAGGCTGTCGGTGCTTCTTTTATGGTGGGTTGCCTGTAAACGGTTGACGAAGTATGTTTAGCACGCTCTAGTTAAGGTAGTTCGAACATGCATTTTTGTCAAATTCGATCTGCCTATAAGCCTATGTCATAGTTGTAGATGGAGTTGGGATATGTTGAACATACATGCTCTTCAATTCAGAAGCAAGGTGGATTAATTTCTTTTAAAGAAAGGAAGTATGATCGATGTGAAATTATTTTCTTAATTTATCGAGTTTAGTTTATTTATTTGAAAGTAGTATTTCGTCATATTTTCCTAATTCTCAGTTATGCTTTTTTTTTCGTTGCTTTGTTAGGAAACTAAGAGCATTCATGGCCAAAAAGTAGATTCGGGAGGAAAGATGGGTTGCTACCGATCCCAGCTTGAAAAAGAAGTGAGTTCCTTGCCCCTCTGTTGACAGGATTGCCTCTATTATTAGTTGAATGGGTGATGTATGCTCATTATATGCGATATTATAATATGTTATGCATTACATATATTTTTCTGTTGCGGTCCCCTATTTGACTAATTATACTCTTTTGGTGAAATTGGTTAGGAGATTTCATCTTTGCTTTTTGAAGAGGATTTGTTTACAAGATTTTTATTTTTATACTAGTTGTAGGCCAATGGTTAATGGCATTGGATATATTGGTTGATATACCTTTATGTCCGTTCTATGTGGAATATGATTGATCAATTATGTTGTATTGTTGCATTGGATCTCAATTCATTATGCCGAGCTCGTTGGAGGGTTGCAGGGGGTCATAATCCTTTTTCGGTTATGACACCACAGTGTTGTATACTCGAGTGCCTCGACGTTGTGCACCCGAAAGCCCATGCGTTTTTTCTTGGAGAAAACAGAGATCACTAGAGTTATGACGCTTTAGACCATGGCACTGAGGCGGCGTCAAGCATACTGGAGACAAAAAGTTGAGTACCGCAGCGCTGCGGGATGGGTTGTCAGTTTTATTTCTCGTTTTCCATTAAGGGTGACGTCCCTTGGCGGTTATTGTATGATTTTCTCTTTGTTTGTTCATGAGAACAGTGTAAGAGAGGCGAGATAAGGAGAGAGCGAGAGAGAAGCAAGATTTATACTATTTCTCCCAAATTTTTATAGATAATTTCTTGGTGTGGTGTGGCTCCATTATTTTTTTTTTCAGATTTTTTCACATTAAATCTTGGTGTTCTTTCTTTTCCGCTATATTTTTATTTCCTGTTTGTTTCGCTGCGTGTTTTACTTCCCCCCAACAACTGGTATCAGAGCCACGCTCTTTAGTTTGAGCGAGAGTAATGGCTGATGAAGCAGGATTCAAGATTGAAAAGTTTGAATGATTTAAACTTTGCATTCTTGAAGATGCAAATTGAAGACTTGCTCTACCAGAAGAAGTTCTATTTGTCGTTGGAAGGAATCATCAAGAAGTCTGATTCAATGACTATGGAGGAGTGGGAGGTTTTTGACTGGGCTGTACTAGGTTTGATTCGACTTTCACTTTTCTCATTTATTACATTCAACATTATAAATGAGAAGACTACAGTCAATCTCATGGCTGCACTGACTAAGCGTATGAGAAGTCGTCGGCCTCAAACAAAGTGTTCTTTAGGAAGAAGTTATTCAATATGAATATGTTAGACAACACTTTGATAGCAGAACATCTGAATAATTTGAACACTGTGATGAGTCAGTTGTGTTCAGTTGACATCAAGTTTGATCATGATGTGAGAGCATTGTTGTTGTTATCTTCATTGCCAGATAAATGAGATGAGCTGATTACTGTTGTGAATAATTCTTCTAAGAGTTCAAAGTTGAACTTTTAGGATATTGTGGGGTTAGTGCTTAATGAAAATGTTTGCAGAAAGGTGGATGGTGAATCTTAAAATTCTGCTATGAATGTTGAAGCCAAAGGAAAGGGTTTTGACAAAAATCCTAGCAGAGGAAGATCTAGATACAAGAGAGGAAAATCTACTTCATGTAAAGAAAAAGTTGTGTTTTGGAACTGTGGAATGAATGATCACTTAAAGAAGGACTATAGAGTTCTAAAAAAAACTAGTGGTAAGGGTCAAGATAAAAGTCACTCTACAAATATATCTGTATAAGAGTTTCAAGCAGATTATTTGATTTTGTCTCTGGATAATTCTGAATCTTAGGTTATAGATTTGGGTACTTCATTTCATGCAAGCCCTACTAAGGAGGCATTCAAAAAATACACTTAATGTGATATGGAAATAGTGTATTTGAGATACAACAAGCCCTGTAGCATTGTAGGATAGGGAGATGTTGATATCATAATGACAAATGGGTCAACTTGAAGACTCAAGGATGTTAGACATCTTTCTTGTCTGAAAAGGAATTTAGTTTCTGTGAGTTAGCTTGCAAACTCAGGCCATATGATATCATTCAAAGGAGATTCGTGGAAGGCGACAAAAGAAACTATGGTTAGAGCTCATGAAAGTATTGAAAGAACCCTATATGTTATCAATAAAAGATCATATTCCATTAGAGTAGTTGATTCAGATGTTGATGGAGGTCTTTGGCATCGAAGGCTTGGACATATGAGTAAGAAATGTATGCTTTGACTTTTTACTAGAGGAAAGTTTTCCGGTTTAAAATTTATAAAGCTAGATTTTTATGAAGATTTTGCATATAACAAATAACAAAGCGTGAGTTTTTCAAAAACTAGTTTAAAAGTAAAGTCAAAGAAGCTAGCATTTGTGTATATTGATGTATGGGGTCCATCACCAATTTCTTCTACAGGAGGTTTTCTCTATTTTTTTCAATTTTATTGATGATCTCAATATAAATGTATGGATGTACTTAAAATAAAAGTCAGATTTGTTTGATAATTTCAAGAGTGGAAGGTCATGGTTAAGGTTGAGACAAGTTTAAAGCTCCTCAAGTATGTCATATCAAAAATTGAAAAATTTGTAGCTCCATGATGAATATTGAAAATTTTGTTGGTGTAGAAATACCAAGTAGTTGGCTCTCATCCATAGGTTGAGCCTTTTCGTTTGAAAATCAGTTTAACTATTGTTGTATTCATCCCAATTTGTTATCCTTTTGGTTAACATTCCCTAGTTGACTTGGTGATGTGAGAAGCAGTTCTTATGCTGATGTAGGTGCTGGTTTGACTACTGTGTTTTATCTTTTCCCATGTGTATGCAGGTTCAAATATTGGAGAAGCAACTTCAGGAAGAAATTGACTTACATGTGGCTTTAGCAAATGCCGTCGGAAATACTTTTTTGCCTTTATCCAGGTCTCTTTCCAAGCTTCCAAATAAGGTAGTGCCTTTGTTCATTCTGCTACTCTCCCGCAATTTACTTAGGAATTCTTTTAAATAATGCTGTTTTAGGCTATTATCATTAGTTCTACTTTTAGTTATATGATTTAAAAAATTTGTTTAGGCTCAGGAGCTCTTAGCCAGCATTGATGCACTGGAGATAACTGTTAGAAAACTTGAAGAAGAACTCTATGCCTTGCATTTCAGCCTTCAACATGAAAGGAGGGAGCGTCTTGCTGCTGAAATCCATATAGAATATTTACAAATACCATCACTGGCATCTCCTTCATCAACTTCTGGGTATATATGGGAAGATGTATATCATTTCACCTCTATATTTAAATTTCTGCAAACCCCACGAGCAATTTGACCTTGATAGTGATGCCTTAATTTGGTTGCATTCTGCAGAATGTATCTTCCTTGAGACTGTCAAAGCTTGGAGTTCAAGTGCTTCCCTCAATCCATATGGATGTATTACCAGAAAGTGAAGATTTAGAGTCATTTAGAGGCCCTTCCGAAAACATCCCATTAAATGAGGTTTGTTTCATGTATTTTTTAATTGACGATTATTTCCCTTGTTTTCTACAGCAGTTGTAGTCGGTTTATCTTGAATTCCTTTACATCAAATATATTTTGGAATTTAATACTATAATACTATCTGATCCTGTTTAAACAGGTGTTGGGACAATGTGACGGGGGAGAAGAGAAAAGGATTATAGATTCTTCTTCAGAGTTGCATGTTGCTGCACTGAAGGACATGAAAGTGAAGAACCTCTTGCCGCACCCAAATCAGCTTTCAGAAGAAATGGTCTTATGTATGAGAAATATTTTTCTTCGTCTGTCAAGATCTCCAACGACTACTTCCAAGGCATCTTTGTCAAAGTGGTTATCGTTACTATCTTCTCCGGGAGGAAATCTTTCGCATTCTTCATTGACATCATTCTCAGATTCATCCAGGCTGCCTTCCTCAATGCATACTTCTTCAGAGTTAATTCACAGTTATGAAGCAATGGATCAAGAAGGTATATATGATCCTTATGGAGTTAATGAAAGATTAAATTGGAGAGAGATTGGAAAGTATCGTTTGGCAACTGAGGTATCTTGGATGTCAGTTGGAAAAGCACAACTTGAGTATGCAGCTGGCGCTTTAAAGAAATTCAGGTTTGGTAGTACCCGTCATTAAAATTCAGTTTTATTAACCGTCAAAAATGTGAAGTTCAGTTTGCTGCAAAGTTGGATACTTCGATAAAATAATAAACATAAGTTAGTGTAGCTTCTTGCTCTTGAAAAGTATAATCCATCTCAGAAAGTTCCTCTTTTCGGTTGTGCAAACCTATGCTCATGTACAGAATCCTGAATACGTCAACAATGCCTTGCAGGTTTCTCGTGGAGCAACTAGCAAAGGTTAACCCAGCTCAAATGAGTAATGATGAGAAGCTGGCTTTCTGGATTAATCTGTATAATGCCTTAATAATGCACGTATGTTTTAATCTAAATTTTATACGTGTCCGTTATAAAATCACTATTTATCATACTAAACATGAATAAGTTGGTAAATCTAACCATGAAAATGATATTTCACCATAGCCAAGTTCATTTGAGTCTTTCTTTTCGCATTCAAATATTGTGATGGAGTTTTAGTTGAGGGTTTGTATTGGCACTCAAATTTAACTGTTTTCAGATCTATCTGGCATACGGAGTTCCTAGAAGTGATATCAAACTCTTCTCATTGATGAAAAAGGTTCGAAGTGATGGTGTTCTTGCCCCTCTTAAACCAGTCGGCAGTTGTAATCAAGCAAATATTTTCCTCTTTTCTTATTTTGTTATTGTAATTAATTGCAGGCATGCTATACCGTCGGAGATCAATCTTTTAGTGCTGCTGATATTGAATTTGTTATTTTAAAGATGAAACCTCCAGCTCATCGACCACAGATTGTATGCAAAATTCTCTGGTTTGTACATTTTTATTTTTTTGCCACATGCGATTTCTAGTTGATCCGTTTCTCTGCAGGTATTGACTCTGGCTCTGCACAAATTCAAATTATCAGAGGAGCACAGAAAATATTCGATTGACTACGCGGAGCCTCTGGCCTTGTTTGGGCTCAGTTCTGGGATGTACTCTTGCCCTGCAGTAAGTTCCTAAATTCGTTATTTTGGACTAGTATTTATTGGATGACCATGTGCTCACACCGTTCCAGCCCGTCCTCAGATAACATTTGGCCGTTACAAATCTGATAGGAAATATTTGAGTTCGCAAGCAAACCTATCACTAATTGGAGAAAACAGCGAGAATAAAGTAAAATCTGGGTGAAATCAGCCCCAAAACGATGGATTGCAATAATGAAAACAAAGCAAAACAAACACGGGAACAAGATACAAATGAACCTCAATTCGAGAGGAGGATCATCTCTACCAAATCTCTAGACAAGAGAGTCTAGAGCCCAAATGCCAAAAAACTCTAATTTCCAATCAAACAAAACCTAATCTCCCCTAATCCCTCTCAGCCCCTTTAATACAAGATCTTTCCTAATTTAATTTCCCTCCCAATCCCTAGCCGCCTACTCTATTTGAATTTCACTTTGTTTGGAATAGTGGGGCCCGCCCCTTTGGGCAGACAAAGCAGAGGAGGTGGACTCCTTCCGCCTACTGTAAACCAATTGAGCTGGCCCCCAACCGGTTCATTGACATTAAAGCTAACATTTTTTATTCTTCAAAACATGATTTTGTTAGTAATGTTAGTTTTAATTCCCATGTATTATGTTCCAATAAGACTAACAATTGGTAGTATTTAGCACCCATAAAAATTTCTCTCTTTTTCAGTTTGAAATAAGAAATAGATTTAAATCTTCTCCTCTATTATTCTACTCTTATTTTTAACAGTATCCATCTCATATTATTGACGTGCCAAATGCTTGGTTATGTTAGATGCTTGTCGGTGTTTGAAGCACCTCGAACACTAAATACCTCACCTAGAAGTCCGGCAATCTCTCTTTGAAGTGGAGCTAGCGGAAGAGAATAGTGAACAAACTTAGCGATACCACTAAGATACATGTGATGCCGAGAAGACTTGTCGCCGGGGAGGAAGCAGGAGTTGGAGAAGCGGGCGAACGACCTTGGATGATTCACTCGTAATCTGAGAATTGTGCGTCAATGGCGTCTACAAGAGTAGGAAGGATCCGATTTAAGTAATCTTCCACGGTGCCGTCGAATCCAAATCCCACGTCGAAGAACGGCGATCGAAGGATATGAACGTGGCCGTATTCGTCGATCTCAATTCCGTGATCAACAGCGGGATCCGCCATACATTCTTGTCGGGCGGGAAGATGCACAAAAGAATCGGGAAAATTTCTTTCAGGTTCTTTATTCAAAACCTGAGAGGAATGGCTTAGGAGCAAGGGAAAATTGGAAGGATTCTTCACGCCTTGTGGAGACGTGAGAGCAAGGGTTGGAATTCCTTGATGGCAATCTTAGAAAACAGCAGACTCCATGTGGGAGGAGTTTGGGAAGGGTTTAGAATAGAAAACCAATGTAACGGTGTAAAAAAAAATTCAGCCAACAGGGGAATACGGGACAGAATTTGGCTTTCACAATTAAAGGCTGAATTTTGGTAAGAATTAAGAGGTGATTGCATAAGTAGGAAATTTCAAAATTAATAAAACGGTTACAGGAATTTAATATGGGAGGTAATTAAATGGAGGTGGAGCTCACGGGATATTCAACAAACCTGAGAATTGATTCTCAGGCTTACGTTACAGAGAGATTTCCTAAAATGCTTTGACTGTTAGGCGTTGGCAAACTCACGTTAAATGAGAGAAAACATAACATATCCAATTTCTTAATAGCAGAGGATGTAAAATAGGAAAGCAATTAAACCCTTAGCCTGGGATTTCAAATTTTGAAAACATGTGGGCGGGTGGCTGAAGTGGAGTGGCTGTGGGAGCGGGAGGGAGGGACGGCCGGCTGCTGGGTTGCAGGGAAGGCCGCCGGTGGCTGGGCCGGCCAAGGGAGGCCGACGGTGGAGCTTGGGTGGTGGTGGGGAAGTGAGAAAAAAAGGAGGTTTCGGCTAGATGGGGGAAGAAAGGTTTGGAGAGAAAAAGAAATAAAGAAAATTCAAATGAATAACCTTGATCACCACTCTACCGATAGACCTCACAAAGAGATCTCCGACGATCTCCTCTTCAAGAACTCACGAAGAGAATCATAAGAGGCAAATTTTCATTCATAAAAAAACTAAGCTATTACATAAGAAAATGACCATATAAATGGGCCTCAAAATGATAAGAAAGCAAAAGACTAAAATGCCCCTCGGGCTACAATAATGACCAAATACCCATAAGGGCAAAAATGGAAAAACATAAAAATCAAATAAACTACTACATAAAATGATGAAAATAAAGATCATGATCGTGGCCGTCGATCTCCGGCATCTCCTGATGGTACATGTGCCGCAATCTCTGACGATGTCCTCATCACCCACTCTATTTGAATTTCACTTTGTTTGGAATAGTGGGGCCCGCCCCTTTGGGCAGACAAAGCAGAGGAGGTGGACTCCTTCCGCCTACTGTAAACCAATTGAGCTGGCCCCCAACCGGTTCATTGACATTAAAGCTAACATTTTTTATTCTTCAAAACATGATTTTGTTAGTAATGTTAGTTTTAATTCCCATGTATTATGTTCCAATAAGACTAACAATTGGTAGTATTTAGCACCCATAAAGATTTCTCTCTTTTTCAGTTTGAAATAAGAAATAGATTTAAATCTTCTCCTCTATTATTCTACTCTTATTTTTAACAGTATCCATCTCATATTATTGACGTGCCAAATGCTTGGTTATGTTAGATGCTTGTCGGTGTTTGAAGCACCTCGAACACTAAATACCTTCATAGTCTGAAGCATTCGTGCATCCCTAGTAGTAGCTGAGCAGTAAAATAAGAACAACTCGTGTGATTTTCCTATGTCTCTCTTTAAGTAGTGGAGTTGTTAACTGAATCCAATGGAAAAGAAGATAACAAATGAAAATTCCGATTTAAAATAATGGATTTCATGTGGTAAGTTTTCCGGCATGGATGAGGTAACTCCATTGTTTTCAACGATGTTGGGGTTTTCAACTTAAAATTAGACATTAAAACCCTATTTAATTAAGCAAGAGAGAGTTCAATCAATAAAACTAGCATAGGCTATGAAGACTGGCTAATTTAAAGGACTTGGTACAATGACTCGCCTATATTTTAAGTGCTCTCGTATAGGGGTGTCAATATTAGACACGACACGATCGACCCGAACCCGACCCGTGACCCGAAATTGACACCCCTACTCTCATAGGGCATTTATGATATCACTTTTCCGTGAAGTGAGTTTTGAGGGTTGGGTCTCTTGAGTCTAAGCTGGGCTCAGGTTACCGTATGATCTTGAATTCTTTTGTTTGAAGAAAAGTAAGTTGATGGAATCCTTTAGATGACAGAGGAGTCTAGGCACATGCCATGGCAATTATACAAGACAGCTGATCATGCTTTTTGTTTGCTTCTTATCCACCCTAGTATGGAAGTTTAACGATAAATATGCTGATTTGAAATTATTTTGAAATCTAAATAATCTTTATTTTTGAAAGGTTTGATGGCTCATTATGTAATTGATTAGGGAGTTGATTATTTCCCTAAGTAAGTTGATTTAATTGGAGATTGGATTGATGCATTAATTAGGAGATCTAATCATTGTACAAATTGGGAGATTTAATTAGCATGATTGAGAGATTTAATTGGCATGATTAGATTTTGTCATATTATAATATTAATTAAAGTTTCCTTTGTAGCTTTGTTTCAAATCTTTAAATGGGGCTTGAGAGCTATTGTATTGTATGCATGAGAAGAGAGAAAGCTTAAGAGCTATTATAATTCTATATTGTTCTTCAATATAGTGAAATCATCATCCCCTCCCTGTGGACGTATGCATCTTCACCGAACCATGTAAATCGCCATGTTCATTGGGTTATGTGATTTTGTTTCCGCTGTGATTGTTTGCACAATAATTGGTATCAGAGCCGAATTTCAATGATTTCTAATGACGGCGAACAAGAAGATTTCCTTTTGGTGTGGTTCAGTTGGGCTTATAGCGACGTTTGGACGGATCAGACTCACTGGGTTTGATTGATTGCTAAGCCGGATTGGTGCAATTCTAGCATCATAAGGAGGTTGCAATTTGGTGGAGGGTATGAGATCCGGTGGAGCTATGGATACATCCACTTCATGTATGGAGAAGGCATCGATCCATCAGGTGGTTACACATCTCATCAAAATTGATGTGACCAAATTTGACAGCAAAGGAAACTTTGGCATGTGGCAATGTGAGATGATAGATATGCTATGCTCTTTAAATCTGGAAAATGTTGTGGATGACGATGAACGTCCTGAAGAGATGTCTGAGAGAGATTGGCTCAAGATGAACCTGTTTGCTTGTGTCTTGATCATAAATTGCTTATCTCAGGAGATTAAGTATAGGGTGATGATGGAGACATCTGTTGTGAAGTTGTGGAAGATTTTGAATACAAGTATCTGACGAAGAGAGTGGAGAATCATCTCCATATGAAATGGCTGCTCTACAAGTTTTAAATGAGATATGAGATAACAATAGATGATTTGAATGACTTCACAAAGTTGTTGGCAGATATTTTAAATCTAGATAAGGATGTTGGACATGAAGACAATGCGTCAATTCCGCTAAATTCACTCCCGAATGAGTATGAAAACTTCACGATGATGCTCATTCATGGAAGGAGGTCTTGAACTATGGTGAGGTGACTACTGCATTGCTGAATCACGAGTTCTGCCATCAGGATAAGGAGTCTGCAAAGATGGATTTAGCTGAGGCTCTCACACTCCAACAAGGAAGATCTAAGAAGAAGAAAAAGGGCGGAAGCAAGCAGGGTAAATCTAATGGGCATAGTCTTGGGAAGAATCAATGTGCTTTTTGCTTGGAAACTGGTCATTGGAAGAAAGATTGTTCGAAGCTGAAGGAGAAGAGAAATGGAGTTTACACTGAGGCTAACTTTTGTGTGGAAGAGCGTGATGAAGATTCATATATATCACTATCTACAATTTCTCAAAGTTTGTATTTTGATTATTCATGTTGGATTCTGATTGTTGGTGTTGTCTATCACATTTGTCCTACTAGAGAGTGGTTTTGTACCTACAAAAAGCTTGATAGTGAAGTTATGACAATGGAAAATGATCAAGCTTGTTGTACAGTTGGTGTAAGTAGCATCTTCATCAAAATATATAATGGTTCTATGAGAGAGCTGATTGATGTGAGACATGCTCCAGATATCAGGAAGAATTTGTTATCTATTTGGGGCTTTAGAGACCAAGGGATACAAGGTAATCATTGAGACAGGAATTTTGAAGATCTATCATGGAGCATTGGTTTTTCTAAAAGGAATTCGTCACTACAACCTTTATTACCTTTAGGGAAGAATAGTGATTGGAATGACTACTATTGTTGATGATTTTTCTGATGCCACTGCATCGTGTCATATGCGGCTAGCTTATGTCGGAGAGGCTTGTCTTATGATTTTGGTTAAGCAATGAATGATTAAAGGAGTAAACACGTACAAGCTCGATCTTTGTGAATATTGTGTGTTTGGCAAGAAGATAGGTGTATCATTTGGTACTGTCATCCACGGTATAAAGGATATCCTAGAGTATGTTTACACAGATGTTTGGGGCCCGTCAAAGATTATAGGCAGTGATACTTTCTCTTTTTTTGATGATTACTTCAGGTATATTTGGATATATACCATAAGGCGCAAGAGCGGGGTACTAGAAATTTTTAGAATTTGGAAGAAGTAGATTGAGAATCAGACTGGAAAAAAGATCATGCGTATCAGATCAGAGATAATCAGGGCGAAGACACTTCTGATGCATTCTTGTAGAAGTGCCAGAGATCTGGGAAAAGTACCACTTGGTTGTTAGAGAGACACCGCAGAATAAGGTGGCTGAGAGGATGAACCGGATTTTGATGGAGAAAGTTTGGTGTATATTATCTAGTGTTGGGTTGGATAGAGTTTATTGGGTTGAAGCAATAGGCTGTGTCTGTTACTTGGTGAATCGTTTGCCTTCTTTAGCTATTGAGAAGAAGACCCGGATGAAAATGTTGTCGGGACATCCTGCTCGAGATTATCAGCATTTGAGACTGTTCAGGTGTCCAGCTTACTATCATGGTCAGAATGATAAACTGAAACCAAGGGCAAAGAAGATAATCTTTATTGGCTTCAAGTTTGGAGTCAAGGGCTTCAATCTATAGTCTGTAGAGAAGAAGTTTGTTATTAGTAGGGATGTTATTTTTGATGAGACTAGTATGTTGAAGCCTTGGGACTTTAAGCAATAGGACCACAGATCCACTGCAGAAGTTGGAGTTTGATGCAATTCTATTTACTCGACATAATTCAATCATTTCTATCCAGGCACCTGATTCAGCTACAAATCATGAGATAGAATATGATGTTAAGGATGAGATTCATGCTCAATAATCTATTGCGAAGAACATATTCAGGCACCATAATGTCCCAAAATCAGTTTGGTTGAGGGATCACATTGCATTTGCATTTTCAGCCACATAGGCTGAATTTCATAGTCACTATAAGGAAGTGGTGTCACCGATGTTAATCTTTGGAAGATAGCTATGGATGAAGAAATGAAGTCTCTTCAGAAGGATACTACTTGGAGGTTGGTGAAGCTTTCTCCATAAAGAAAAACTATTGGGTGCAAATGGATGTGCAAAGAATGAATAATCTCATGGAGCTGATGTGCAATACAAGGCTAGGTTGGTGGCAAAAGGCTCTACGCTACGGAAGGAGATTGCTTATGATGAGGTGTTCTCCCCCATGATCACTTGGCATTTGTAGCACAATATGGTTTGATTTTGGAGTAACACGATCCAGACATTGCACAAACAGTTGGCATTGTAAGCAGGTTCATACATGATATAGGAATGAGTCATTGGCAAACTGTGAAGAATATCTCGAGATATTTGAAAGGTACAATTGATGCAGGCTTGGAGAGGCAGTCACCACGACAGTGGTGCAAGACTCATGATTGATTACCCACTTGTTTGAAGAACTACGCTTGACTTGATCCCTTGGGAGGTGGTACGTAGGAAAATTATGGGTGCTGTCATTCTGATATTGGAGTCTGATTTGTCATCTTTCACTTTCTGAAGTGAAAGATGAGGTGGAGATTGTTGATTTGGAATTTGATTGCTAATTATATAATTGATTAGGGAGTTAATTTTTTCTAAGTAAGTTGATTTGATTGAAGATTTGATTGATGCTTTGATTGGGGGATCTAATTATTGTATAAATTGGAAGATTTAATTGGCATGATTAGATTTTGTCATAATATAGTATAAATTAAAGTTTCATTTGTTACTTTATTTCAAATATTTAAATAGGGTTTGAGAGCTATTGTATTGTATGCATGAGAAGAGAGAAAGCTTGAAAGCTATTGTAATTCCCTATTGTTCACCAATATAGTGAAATCATCATCCCCGGTGGACGTAGGCATCTTCGCCGAACCACATAAATCGCTTTGTTCATTATGTTTGTGTTGTGTGATTTTGCTTCCATTGTGATTGTTTGCACAACAAAACATTAGTAGCTATCGAAGGAAACTCCTACTCGAGCCGTGCTGTTCAAACAACTGGAATCGGGCCCCTTAATCAAAAGCAATGCAGACTAGACAGATTTGATTTGTGAATATGGGGTGTAGCATTATTTTCCACCTACAAGCATATTAAAGAATGTATAGCAATGTTGTTTTTCCTAGATTTCTATGCACAGTCCCTCTTGCTTTTGATGTGTTTTTAAGACTAATTAATTTTTCTCCATAACATAGTCTAGTTTAGAGTAATACTTCCCACACCCACCCTTGGTATACAATTCCGGTCTTTTTCCTAGCTTATGTTGCATAACTATGAGATCAAGCTCTTAGTGCGGAAAGAAATTGGCATCCCACTTCACTTAAAATCATCCAATTTAGCCAAAAAACTTTTGGTTGTCCATGAGTTTGAACACCTCTATTCAGTCCTAAAAAAGAGGAATGGAATCTACTCCAAGATCTTACACTGAAAATGAAAAGTTCAGTTGATACCTTTCTGATATAAACTTAGATTACTTTTGAATTAGGCTTCGTTTGGGACGGCTTTTTTACTGCTTCTTGAAGCAGCTTTCTAGTAAAAAATTTTAATTTTTATCCTAAAAAACTGCTTCAAGAAGTTGTTAAAAAGCCATTCCAAACAAAGCCTTATGCTTCATTTGGGACAGCTTTCTTTCTGCTTCTTAAAAATTTTTGTACTTGAAAGCTGATTTAAGAAGCAAAAAGAAAGCCGTCCCAAACGAAGCCTTAGTCTTTTTTTTTTTTGCTTGAAATCTTCTTAAAGAGAGGAATGTTCCTGACTAAATCGTGATGTAGGTAAGGATCTTCACTGCCAGCAACGTGCAAGAAGAGCTCAAAAACTCTATGAAGGACTATATCCAAGCTTCCATTGGCATAAACGACAAAGGCAAGCTTCTTGTGCCAAAGCTTCTATACTTCTTCGCCAAGGGAGTTGTTGAGGATTCTCTACTTGTTGATTGGATTTGCCGCTACCTCAGCCCCGAGCAAGCCTCAGTCGTTAGAGACTCAACCTCACATCGGAAGCAGAGACTTCTTAGCGCACGCAGTTTCAGCATAATTCCATTCGATTCAAGGTTTAGGTACCTTTTCTTGCCCCATAACAAGAGCCAAAAACTGTAAATAAGCTTGTTAAGTTCAAAGGTTGAATATATACGTAGAAGCCCCAGGTTTGGATGAATAAAACAGTATCGAATCAACCAGCTGACAAGCTAATAAAATGTAAATTTATTCAGATTGATTTCATCATATAATAAGCTTATCTTTAGTAGAACCTGAACCTTTCAATCCATGAAAACTGAAATTGTTTATGTAAAGGCAACAAAAGCTGAAAAATTACAAAATAATCGCAGAATTTTCATATGAGTTTACAATACGTTAAAGGAGCGAAAGAAGAAGAGCTCACATCATTCTTTGCTGATCTCTCGTAACGATTTCAATAGAGCCTTGCAATTTTTATTTTTATTTTTGTGCTTTTTTTTTGTTCTCTATTAGCAGCGGTATCTCACCGAGCAAGCAACCGCCTTAGCCCAATGCCTGAGCTTTGTCTTCACGTCTTCAGGGCTATCCCCTGTGAACTCATACAATGCAAATAAAAAAAGTATTAGGTTATCTCAGCATAAGATGGTATGATTTTCATTTTAATATGTAGATAGCCAAATTTATAATAGCAGTTTAACCTAAGATTTCAGTCAAATTGGATTATAGAAAAAAAAAATTGTATGACAATTATAGTCAGACCCAGAAATTGTAAATAATATTTTTAAAAAACTACTGTCATTCAGGAACGATGAACCCAATAAGTGAAATGTTTCTTTTTCTTATTCTAACTCTAAATTCGGCTGATTGTCCAAATTGTCGCCATGCATGTGTAGCTCAACAAGATCTATCTAATGAGCCTAAGATCGCTAAATTCAAATAGCATTAAGGCATTTAAATGTTGATAAAATGTTTCATGATTAAGATAATCCGTGAAGTGTTTTGAATTCTAGTTCAAATTATCAAAGTTCACATCCTGAAAAGCATATAAATAGAGCCACATCCTCTATATGCCAGGGGTGGCCCAAGAGTTGAGAGAATTATTGCATTACTAGTTATCGTCGTCGACAATCACCACTAACAATCGCTACCACCATCTTCATACTCCTGTAAAAATTTAACCTTCTTGTTGAGTAATAACTGTCTGTATGTTGACATCAAACTTTTGTAATCCATGTAGGGGAAATTAAGTTCTATTGTTGAGTATTAACTAGTCATATGTGGAAACTTGATTACTGTGATGCCGCAAGAAAAAAAATAGATATTTGTTCTTAAATAATCTCAATCTTTATCAATTGTCAAAAAGGGAGGATTATTATACCACCTACTATATAGTGGATTTTTTAATTGGGCTAGGCCTCGTGATTTTTTCTCATTTGTGTATTTCTCATGTAATAAAGTTACGATCTTATAAGTTTTATCTATGCGCGTCGAATTTTTGCACAATGCTAAGATGTAAAATATAAACTCTACCAATTCAAATTTTCTTGCACATAATAATAAGAAAGCATGATTGATACATAATCAAAAAATTATCTTGATCAGGCACGAATTTTGAGGCAGAATCAAGTTGGAAGCTCCAAAAATTAAATCGGAGATCATCTAAATTCTGATTCAGCAAACTTACAGTCGAACTGAGCGTCTTGGAAACACGAACCCAACGACACCAAAATCGACTCAATCCGAGCCCAAATGAGTCCAAATCAAAGACTTGAAGCACTTTTGGAAGGATCGAACCACAATTTGGGTTACCAAACGGTCTTAAATCGTGACATGCTTATAGTCGAATCGAGTGGCTCGACGAGACGAATACAACAAGCCTAAGATCATCAAATTCTGATATCATTAAGATAGGCAAAGGTCAATTGAATGGTGCATGATCGTAGGAATCAAAATCGGCGGTCCATTTCGAACCACTCCAAATTCACCCTTGATCTTCCACTTATTTACAAGTCATGCCACTAAAGAATGCTATAAATAGAATCTCATTTCTTCTTGAAAGGAGGAAGAAGGAAAGAGAGAAGAAGGAAGAGAATGAAGAAAACTCCAGCCGCCTAGCTCCTCCTCGACCACCGCTGGACCACCAAGGGACGTCGGGGTTCTGCCGCACCACCGTTGGACCACCAAGGGACACCGGGGTTCTGCCACACCACCACCGGACAACCAAGGGACGTCGGGGTTCTGCCGCGCCAAGAAGTTCTGCCACACCACCGTCGAACCACCAAGGGACGTCGGGGTTCTGCCGCACCACTGTCGGAGTTCTACCGCACCACCTCCAAACCACCAAGGAACACCGGAGCGCAGACACAACATCGCCAGGTTCTATCGAACCACCACCAGACCATCCAAGGACATCGAAGTATCACTCGAAGACGGAGTGCCCCTTGATGCTGAAGTGCCACTAGCGGACCACCACTTGACACCAGAGTGTTGCCGGACCACCACTTGAGACCCGAACTTCTCCCGGACCACCACTTAACGTATAGAGTTCTGCTGAAGTACCGTCCTCCTACTACGGTCCTTCCGAACTCCCTTGCTAGACAATGTCTTTCTGACCCCAGTCTCCTGCCGACTACGGTCCTTCCGACCTCCCTCGCAAGACAACGATCTTTCTTACCCTGGTCTCCTACCGACTACAACCCTTCCAACTTCCGTCGCCTACTACGGTCTTTCCGATCTTTGTTCTATCGACTATTAGGGGTGTTAATTCGGGTCAACGGGTCGGGTTCGGGTCGAACCCGGAACTGACCCGGTACTGTTCGGGTCAACCCGAACCCGACCCGTTTTTAAAAATGGGTCAGGTTTCTGGACCCGAACCCGACTCGATTCGGGTTCAGGTCAACCCGACCCGACACGAATGACCCGGAATTGTTAGTTTTCGGGTCAAAAATTGGGTCAATCTTCATTTTTCGGGTCAAAATCGGGTCAAAATCAGGTCAAAAACGGGTCAAACTCGAATTTTCGGGTCAAATATGAGTTTTCTTGTCACTTTCGTGTCACTTTCGGGTCAATTTCGTGTTTCCGTGTCAACCCGAACCCGACCCGATTTTAAAAACGGGTTGATTTCTTCAACCCGAACCAGACCCGTTTCGGGTTTGGGTTGACCCGAACCCGGATTTTTCCGGGTCGGGTTCGGGTCGTGTCAAAAATTGACACCCCTAATTACTTTGTTCTTACATTTTATATATCATTTTATATCAGTCCTCTCTATGCTTTAATTTTTCAGGTAATTGAACTGACATTCAGTTAACAAAATCTGCTCCATAATCTCTACTTCAAAAAACTTATTGTTGAACTTTGAAGTTATGAAGTTACTCTCTCGTTTCATGTTATTGAAAATGAAAATAATTAGAGTTAAGAAGAGGTAGTCAACGCTGAAAAAGCATTCAGAATGTTCAGAAGCGACCTGCACACTCATTTTCTCTGTCAAAACTGTTTTTTTTTTTATGATGTGATGAAGCCATTTTGTCACTTAAGCTTACTTTCTGGTTTAGAAAATTAACTTAAAGAGAACTTCAAAAGAGACTAATTACACTAATAACTGTTAAAAGCGCAAAATTTTAGAGCTTTTGCTATAATTAGCAACTCACAAACTTAACTGTTGATTTAAGAGATTAGTGATACAGCTTCTCCAAGTACTTCTTCAGCTTCTTGTTGGTGATCTTCCTTGTCCTAAGTGTAGGCATAGTTGTTACAAAACTTTAAACCTGTGTTTGTAGTCCTCGAGTTGCTCCACCAGAACGTGAAAATTTATATCATTCTCGATGAAGTGAACAGTGCGACGATAATATTGACGTAATACTATTCATGAATACCTTTTTTTGTTGGAGAAAGAATATACTCAAAATATTTTTTTTAGTGTTATGAAGTGAAATCGGGTTGGAGATGAGTTTCTATAATTTGGAGTGGAAAATGCGGACCACCAAGGGACACCAGGGTTCTGCCACACCACCACCGGACAACCAAGGGACGTTGGGGTTCTACCGCGCCAAGAAGTTCTGCCACACCACCGTCGAACCACCAAGGGACATCGGGGTTCTGCCGCACCACTGTCGGAGTTCTACCGCACCACCTCCAAACCACCAAGGGACACCGGAGCGCTGACACAACATCGCCAGGTTCTATCAAACCACCACCGGACCATCCAAGGACATAGAAGTATCACTCGAAGATGGAAGTGCCCCTTGATGCTGAACTGCCACTAGCGAACCACCACTTGACACCAGAGTGTTGCCGGACCACCACCTGAGGCCGGAACTTCTCCCGGACCACCTCTTAATGTACAGAGTTCTGCCGGAGTACCGTCCTTCTACTACGGTCCTTCCGAACTCCCTCGCTAGACAATGTCTTTCTGACCCCAGTCTCCTGCCGACTACGGTTCTTCCGACCTCCCTCGCAAGACAACGATCTTTCTGACCCTGGTCTCCTACCGACTACAACCCTTCCAACTTCCGTCGCCTACTACGGTCTTTCCGACCTTTGTTCTATCGACTATGGTCCTGCCAACCAAACAAATATGTCAATATTGATGTGTTATACATGATGTACATTTGTGACATCAAACCAAGACCTTCTCCTAAGGAAGGGCCTCATTTGTAATCAACTATAAATACTAGTGGATTCATTCAAACTAGGCCAGAACCCGTGGTTTATCCCCTTTTTCAGGGGTTTCCACGTAAAAACTCTAGTGTCTCTTATAAATGCTGCACCCTCTCTATCTAATATGCTTGTGTGCTGGATCTTCGTACAATGCTAAGACGTTAAACTAAATATTTCTCTACCACCGTAAATATTCCAGAACACAACAATAATTAAAATAACACATCTAAGGATGATGTAGATTATTGACATATTAGCCAAATAAATTATTATCAAGCACAACACTATTAATAATAATTTCTAAATCATATAACAAATATAATTAATATTAATTTATGTAAATTGATATATATTAAATTTAGATGCAAATCCTATCCTAAAAAAATAATGTCTTTGATGTGTGTGGTTGATGAAATATGCAGGCTTCATTTGTGCTGACATTCTTACTAATTTTTAAAGTAATTTTTTAATAAAAAAATTTAATTCTTGTTATAAAAAGCTGGTTTACGAACCAATAAAAAAAATTTTCAAACGAAAACTTATGCTTCGTTTGTGACAGCTTTCTTACTGCTTCATAAAATAGCTTTCAAGTACAACAAATTTAATTTTTATTCTAAAAAGTTATTTTAAGAAGCAGTAATAAAGCCGCCCCAAACGAAGCCTAATCTACGTCTGGAATAACTTTTGATCACTATTTCTTTGTTGATTTCAAAAAATTATTGTACTAAATAGAAGCTATAGAAAATAGTAAGAGAATTGTCCCAAAAAAAAAAAAATCTTAGTTCAAATAGAGACAAATATGTAAAAAGTTTAGGCCATGTTGAAAAAAGTTTTTTCAAAGTTTTTCAAAAACGATATCTTATATTTTTAATTAAAACTCATTAATTATAATAATAAACATAATATTAATATTATTTTTTTTTTGTTATCAATAGAAATTTTTTTAACGAAGGCTCGTAGAGAAACACGCCATATTCTGATACGGTATTTCTTACCGGGGTTAATGAGCTTCCAACCATCGGCCCCCGGCTCCTGCTTCGGTTGCCCATACGGACTTCTAGGGCTCGGCGTACCGTATAGCGTCGACGCCGACGAGGTGGCCGATGAAGTCGCCGTCGCCGTCGGCGTCGACGCCGGGCTCGGCGTCGACATCTGCATGTTCGGGTCAGAAAACTGACGATTAACCGCAAAATACAGTTCCAGCGCCGGTAAAGTCCTGCATAGTTCACGCCCGCCGTTCTCCTCATTGAAGCCGAAACCCAGCTCTAATGATCCCTTCAGTTCATCCAAGTCCTCATCCGTCAAACTCCTCACCCCATCGATTTTCCCTCCGAGACTCCGCAAATGCATCAGCTTCTTCTTCTTCTCCCATTTCAATTCCCTCATCGTATCCCTCATCGAAATCTGCTTCCTCAAAACCTTCTTCTCCCCCCCAACGCCGCCCCAATTCAGCTCCGGCTGCGGCTGCTTCGGAACAATTCCCTCCTCCTCCTCATTCTCTGAAGACGATTCGAGCATTGAGAATCCCTGCTTCTTCGTCGCTCTGCTACTCGTTATCGAGGAAAGGAAAGAGGGTGATCGATGAGAAAAGCTGGAGAGTTCTTAGGAGAATATATAAAGGACGGGACTTGATGGTTGCAGATGGGAGAGATGACGCTGCCATTGTTTAATAATAGAACAGCGGGAGGAGAAGGCCACCGGACGATTAGTTATAGTTGGGTGGTGGTGGAAGTTTGCTCTCCCTCTCTAACGGCCGATCGCCGCCTCTCTCTATCTCTCGATGTGGATTAGCGGTGGCGATCACTGCAAATAACAGTCGATGAGGTGGAAGTCTGAGCGGCGGGGAATGGAGGGCAGATTCTCAGGGCGGTTTTGCGGCGTGGATAATCATAATCATCGCTAAAGTTATTATTTATAGACAGTATTGTTAATGAATTACAGCTACTTTTTAGTGTAGGTATTTGTAATTTAAAAAAATCATTAAAAAGTTATTTTAAAAATAGTAATAAAGCTGTTACGAATAAAATTTTATTTTAAAATAAAAAGAAAGTTGTTTAATAATAGATTTACTTTATCTAATAATGTATAAATTTATTATACTTCTAAATAATTTTATAAAAAGTTTTTTATTTAAATAATTTTTTTAATTTAGTTATTAATTATTTATATCAAAGCAATATTAGATAAAAATAATAATTTATACAAAAAAAAGTTTAAATAAATAATTATAACTATTATATTTATTTGAAGATAAATGAAATATCAATTTTAATTAAAAAGTCATCATGTTAATAAATTAAAGTTAATTAAAATTCTTCATTAATGTCAAATTATTGTCATTTGACCACTATTATTAAACCACTAATGCCCAATAGCCATCAATGAGCCATTGCAATTTTACAACCACTGTCGAGCTACCACCACTAGACGATCGATGTTGGAACTGTAATTATTTGACTACCATCATCATACCACCAGCACCCAACACCACCATTAGGTCATTATCGCCCGATCATCATTGTCGGTCCTCCATTACTCGATTATCAATCATTTAATAGTCGTCGAATTCATCCCTGTCAACTTTGCCTATAAGCTTGTTGCATGCCAACTATTTTTCATGTGTTTTTTTAATGAATGTCTTTTTGTTAGCGCATCCACATCATCTCATTATGATGGGCCTTAACACCACACTCCTTTTTTCAATTCATTAATCGCCTCATTATTGACGATCAGAGCTAACTAATTGCATTTAGAAAAATACAAATAACGGGAAACATAATTACATTATTACGATCAATATTTATATCTTAATTCAAAGTCTAAAAGTATATATGCAATAGCCACCACAAAATACAAAAGAATACACATAAAATCAAAAGCTGGAAGTAAAACTATACTAGCATCAAACCATCATCACTGCTTAGCCTTACCTGTAGGCTCTTTTATATGTTTGTGAAATCATATAAAATCAGATAATGAGTAGGGTTTCATGGTGGTGTGGCTTTATTTTTTTGTTTTTTTTTTGTTTTTTAAGTTTTTCCATGTTAAATTATGTTATTTTTCTCCATTATTGTTTTCTTTTTTCATATTTGTTTCATTCTATAAGCCTTGACTGTTTCCAAATCCAATCTATTTGCCATTGATAAACTACTCCATTTTCAAGTGAAGTTTGAGCCTCATCATAGAGATCAAAAGCCTCGAACTTCTTTAACGGTTGAATTCATGCTGGACAATTTTTCCCATTTATAATCATAGTTTATGTGGAAGAATAATGCCTCTACTATAGCCTAATTGAGGTATTTAAAGATCTGAGAGGGAGGAAAGCTCAGGATAATTTTTTGAAAATTTCAAAAAAATTTTAATTAAGTTTCCTTTTTTTCATGAAAAAAAATTAAAAGTAAAGAGATTTATTAAAAAAAATTACTACACATATGTATTTATTTATTTAAAATAATTACTATATTTATTCACACGTTGATCAGACAATAACGAGCACCCGTGAAAGATGTCAAAAGATAAAAAATAGCTTGAATACAAGGAGGGAGGACCTTTCTTGAGATTCAATAAAATTCTAAAGAAGAAAATTTATCAACTAATAGCAATCCTAAAAATATTTTATAAATAACATTGTCATATATTCAAATATATTCTCAAATAGCAACAAGAAAGCATTTGAGTGCCAAAATTTTTGATATAAATTTAGGATTATTAACTTGACTCCTTTGAATATCACACCTTATTTATAACTTATTTACTTATAAAATATAATAAACTTGCAAATATTTATTCATTTAATATAGCTCACATATGTAATGCTATGAACCACTAGATAGAAAAAAAATGTTTATCATTTTATTCTTAAAATCAATTTTGATTTTAATAAAATCTATAAATTCTTAAAAATTCCATCAAATATTAATATTTATTTACACATATTAGCAAGGATAAATAACATCACTAATTTTTAAAAGATATTTTAAATAATAAAAGTTGAAATAATTAATTGAGCACTAAATATAGTTGGTTTCAACGAAATGTGGTAACTTTACCGGTATGTAGGAGATCCGGCTTTTGGTAACCGAAGAGAAGAGGCCAGCCATCGCTGATTACTGCGGCTAATTTTATTTTTGTTCTACTCTTTAGAAATCAGATGGCCGCTGTCGCTATTTCCTCACCCTCGACTCAGTCTTCGCTTCGTCTTCTCAGACTCTCCTGCTCCTCCTCACCATCTGGATTCTCCTCTTCGATCCGCTATTCTTGCTCCCACCTCTTCAGCACAGTAACTTGTCGCCGCGCCGCTGCGCCCTCTCTGCCTGCCTTGACTCGAGCGCGAGGCTGCCGCATCACTGCTTTCGTTGACCTGGACGAAGGTCCATTCGCTCTCACCGACGATCCTCCCTTCGAAGACGTCAAGGTCGAAGAGGAAATCAAGCTTGTGGGGGACCTTGGCGGTGGCTTTGGAGGCGGAGAAGTAGGGGACGGAGAAGGAGACGGTTACGGTGGTGGTGACGACGGAGGTGATGATGGCGGTGACGGCGGAGAAGGGAGTAAAGGAGAGGGCGAGGGTGAGTCTGGAAAGGAGAAGAAGGTGAGCGGTATGTCGATGTCGCAGAAGCTGACGCTGGGCTACGCCGCCGTAGTTGGAGGTGACGATCTCTTCTGACTTTTATATGTCTGATATTTTACTGGATTTACTTTTCATTACCGAATCATTTAGCCTATGATTTTTCTTTATTGATTTGATATATTTTATATGTTTGCAATGTCTTGTTTGTGTTATTGTAGTGGACGCGTTGAGAGGCAAAATAATTGTTGTTTTTTTTTTTTTTTAACTCCATCCACGAAATTTCCAGATCTAATTGGTTATTATTTTGTATATATGTATATCAATTCTAGTCATTGTCGGGTGATAACTCGAAAGCTGCCTCTCATGATAGCGCCAAACAGCATTGTGTGGTGCTACCCATAGGTCGCACAGTTGGACAATCGGCAGGAAATATCACCAACAGAAAGCTTAAGCTTGTTATACATGAAAAGCTAGATGATAAAAATATATGGATTGTATCGGAGAATCATTCTGCAGATTGCTCTTTTTGAGCAATAATGTGCGTTAAATTACAAAATATGTGGCTCGAATTTATGATCTTAAAAAAACAACATTGTCCGATTAGTGAGCACAGATCCTTTCAGTGCACATTGCTGCTTGCGTTGTTTAAAATGTAAAACTTGTTCATAGTCCATAAATTTCCACCAAATTAAAAGAACTATTTAATTTTTACCTCAATATATTTGTTATGTAACAAATTGCTTCGTATGATTAAGGATGCAAACAAACCGAGCCGAGCCGAGTATGTGAGTGTTCATGTTTGAGTTCGTTTATCATTAGCTTGTTCAAGTTCGGTTCATGTTTGATTCGAGCTTTATGGTTTGTGTTCAAGTTTGGTTCGTTTAATTTAAGAGTGTTCATGTTTGGTTCATGTCAGTTCATGTTCGGTTTGTTTAATGCTTATCGAGCTTTAAACAAACAAGCCTTAACGAGTTATGTTCATGAACATATTTAACAAATAATCTATTGAACAAACAAATATTAAATTTGTTCATGAACATCTTAAACAAACAATCTAGCAAACATAGACAAATGCGAAATGTATTTTGTTCAGAATAAATTTATAATGAAAACACTTGTCTATTTAAAATGAAAATATGATTTAATCTATATGAATATATTCTTAAATGAAGCTTACCTGTTGCATTTCTCTCCATTCGAGCTTTTATTGAGCTTTTTATCGAGCTTGATATCGAGCTTGTTCACGAACTTCAAATGATGTTGTTCGTGAACATAAATGAACTGAACACATTAGTGTTCATTTAAGGATCGAGTATTTAAAATGTTGTTCAAGTTTGTTTGTTTAATTAGTTAAACGATCACAAACGAGCTTTAATCGAATCGAGCATCGAGTAGCTCGTCGAACGTTTGGTTTGCTTGCAGCCCTAAGTATGCAAGGTATCATCATTGAGGGTGATAATTGGAATGTGATGAATTTTTGTCAGAAATCTGTGAAGGGAGATAAGAAGATGGAATTGCATTGTAGGAAGGTGGATTTCTCTTTTCTCACTGATTTTCATAAGGTCATCTTTCTATGTGTAGGTGGCGGATTATTGTGCCTCCTTAGCTACCTTTGGTAATTTTCATTTGGTTGGTGATTCCTTTTGTAATCTTCCATTATCTATTACCAGTGTGATAGACTTACTATCCTTTAATTTTTCTGTACCTATCTTCTTCTCTCATAATGCAATTTCCAGTAAAAAAAAAAACAAATTGCTGGCACTAATTTGAGAATGTCAATATTATATTTCACAGGCTTGTATAATTCATTTAAACTTGTAGCGGTGCAATCTCTTTGGTTAGTCAGATACTTATAAATCATGTATTGGTTTTGGTAAAAAAAGGTATTAGAATCATTTTTCACCTTTTTTTTGACATGTTTCTTTGTGAATTACTCTCTTAAGAGGTTTGGTTATGAATTTTAATCTCTTAGTTAGAATTGGATCTAGCTTGTGGCCTTTTTTTCCCTTGACAATCTGATAGGTACCACTTGAGTATTTCAAGTGATTCCTAACGGATCTAAGCCAAATCGCAACTATTACGTTGTTTTCTATGGGAAAACAGCCACCAAACACAAGAAACAGTGGAAAAATCTGAGAGAAATCGTAGGAAAAATAGGAAAAACAATAGCAAACGATTGAATTTCACTAGTCGATGCAAAAGACAAGAAAGATACAAGTTTCCTTCGATTCGAGAGGAAGGAAAAACTCTCCAAATCTCTAGTCGTAGCCTAGAGCCCAAAAGAAAAACCTAAATCTCCCAAATCACATTCAAAATCAAGATGAAAACTAAAATCTAGGTTAACTCCCTCTTAATACAATCTAATTCAAAACAAAAGCAAAAGGACATATCTACCCTTCATTCTCCCTCCAAAAATACTTAAACTTTGTTTGAATTGCAAGTGGACCCCACCCCCAAGCCCTTTCTCTCTTTCGCCGGGTCTCTATCCCGCTTCCGCCTGGAGAAGACCCGGATCGACTGGGTCGGTCCAGGTTGGGCCGGTCCAGGTTGGACCGGCCTAACATTACCCCCCTCCCAAAGTACCACCTTGTCCTCAAGGTGGAAAGCAGGAAACTGCTCTGCAATCCTTTCCTGTGGCTCCCAGGTGGCCTCATAGTCTAGGAGGTCGCTCCACCTAATCTTCACTTCTCATTGATGCGCACTCCTTCTACCGCTAGAGGCTCCAATGTCACTTCCATGTCCTCCCTCAATGTGCTGGGCAGCTCTGGGCTTACTGCATGCTCCCCCACCACTCTCCTCAACTGTGAGACATGAAAAACGGGGTGTATTCTGGCTGTTGGAGGAAGCCTCAATCTATAGGCCACCTCTCCAATTCTCTCCTCCACTTCAAAAGGGCCAAAATACCTTGCTGCAAGCTTCTCATTTCTCCTTTGGGCCATAGTCCTCTGTCGGTATGGTCGGAGCTTCAAGTAGACCTTGTCCCCAACTGCAAACTGTATATCTCTCCTTTTG